CCCTCTATTCTTTCATTATTCCATCTGATTTTTGATGCATTTAAAAGTAGGCTGCAAATATTAGCATACATCATCCCTCGGTGCTTTAGAACACAATTAAGATACAGGTTTTAGAAATGTGAATTTTTTAGAAATGTGGGGCAGATACATAATCTAATTTCACTGAGGTAATATACATCTAAGGTACCAATTGTACAGGTATTTAAGAAAGCTCTTTGTTAAGGGAAAGGCTGGTTTTGATGTGGCCACTTCCACTGCCTGAATTAATCATGAGTGGACTAGATCTCTGCATGGTGAAATTATGAACCTTGCCCTCAATATTCTGGAGATACTGATGACTTTGCCCTTGCCCTCACCCATCTAGCATCTGAGTGAAGATAGTATTATCCTAACAACAACATGGAAGGCACTGTATTTTTAAAAATTTTTTTAATTAATTGATTTATTTTAATTGGAGACTACTTTTGTATTTTTAGATGACTCAGGCAGAACACCAACACCTCCAATAGCCCAGTCACACATCTGGTATTTGGAAAGCCTTTTACTTTACTATATGAACCTCCCCACTAAATTCCCTAAATCCTAGTTCTCTATTGCTTCATCGTCAGACCCAATTTTTAATTCCTGGGACTGAAGTCTTTTTAGCTAGCATTCCACATAGCCTTTCCTCCTTCTCTAAAACTTGTGAAGATGGTCTTTCTAGTTATATTTTTTACTGATCCACTTATATTTTAAGGTTTTTCTGTTCATATTGGAAATAGGGAGGATATAAATTTTTTTTTTTTAATCTTGGCTTTAAAAACATCTACTATTTCATGTTTTGAAAGAAAAATAGTGTAATGCTTCCATTTGGCCACTGGAGAGTAGTGAACTATTTCTGCTGTAACTCATTTTTCTCTACTCACCTAAGCAAAATTTAGTGCAAGTGAAATAAACTTCTGAAACTTCTTTCCTTGAAAATTTGTTCAATTGGATCCCGAGAGTCATGCCATTAAATTGAGAAAATATTTCTAGTTCTTTTGTTTCTATTGTAATTTCCAGTGCAATGAGAAAGGATTGCAGGCTTCTTTTATTCTAACTCATGAAAAAGAATATTTGGACTGGGGAGAAATAAAGTCACAAGTATTGCCTTCCAGTTACACTTGTGAGTGGGGCAAGGGATGTGGTTTTTGCATTTCATCTCATGTGAATTGTTCAACCTTTCAATGATATTAGAATTTATAGTATTGTATTGGGCTTCCCCCCCCCCCCCNATTTTTAGTGCAACAGAGTAAGGTCTTTGAGAATAATGTTTACATTTGTACATCTCTGTATCTCATCAGTAAAGTAAGTGGTTTAAGTGTGGTTGCTTAAGTTGCTCTTACCAGGATAGAGGGTGAACTAATGTGGTAGAAAAACTTAGACTTTAGACTGTAACATATATTCAAACATTAATGTCCCTGTTAACAGTGTGGCTTCCAGCAAGTTACTAATGACTTTTAACAAAGTCTTTAGTAAAGACACTTACTAATGCCCCTGATGGTGTGAGCAAGCTCTGGGAGATGGTGAAGGACAGGGAAGCCTGCATGCTTCAGCCCTTGGAATCGCAGAGTCGGACACGACTGAGCGACTGAACAACTAAATCTCTGCCGTCTGATGGAGTTGAGTGACTGCCTTCCCAGCTGGCTGAGATGAAGCTAGCACGTGTGACAGTGTCTGGCACATGGTGATCTCCAGTCGCTTCTGTGGTCAGTCTTCATCAGGGAGATGCCAGTTCAAATCTGTATATACTGCCCTTCGTTAGCAACATCCCTTAAGCATCAGTCTGATGGATATGCCACTGTAAGCTCTCATTAAGCTTGTAATCAGTTTCCAGGAACTCCTAAGAGGTCTCTGACGAGGGTCAGCCTACACAAGGGGCCCGAGTCCTCAGCGTGCGTGTGCGGCCCTCCTTTGGGGCCCGGGTGAGGGAAGGAGGCGGGGACCGCAGACCGGCGGCCCCGCCCACTCGGTTTCCGGCCGGCGGGCGGGCGCACCGCTGACCCCGACAGAGCTCTCCTCCGAGCGCAGGGTCCAGGTGCGCAGCTTCTGGGCCAAATGCGCTCTGAAGAGCAGTTTTGTTTGGCTTCTCAGTGGTTTTAAAATGGGAGCCACCTGACAAAAATGCAGTTTTCCAACTTTCCTGGAAGCCCGGGCTGAAACGCAGTCGCCGCTCTCAGCGGCTGCTTCTCCAAGTCTGGGCACAGCCTCGCTTGGCCCTGTGGCATTCCATCTCTTCTGGTTTGCTCTTTTTCATCATTTCTATCAGCTGCTTGTTACAGTGCGAGGGGCCCCACGTGGCCCTGGGATTATGGATGCGATGCAGCCTGCCCTACCTCGAGCAGGACCCCCGGACCAAGCATTTATCCAAAGCTGGCCCCAAATCCAGCTCCAGGCTTTGACGATCTCTTGATCCTCATTTGTAACTACAAAATTTTTGCCAGTTGTATTTCCTNCCCCAAATCCAGCTCCAGGCTTTGACGATCTCTTGATCCTCATTTGTAACTACAAAATTTTTGCCAGTTGTATTTCCTCAACGTTAATCTGCTTTTAAAAAAAAAAAAATCTTTATTTTTCAGCTGTGCTGGGTCTTCGTGGCTGCACACGGGCTTTCTCTAGTTGCAGGGGATGGGGGCTTCGCTTCGTTGTCCTGTGTCTGCGACCCACTGCGGGGGCTTCCCCAGAGCACCGCCCCCTGGGCGCGTGGGCTCAGCAGCTGGGGTGCACAGGCTTAATTGCTCCAAGGAATATGAAATCTTCCTAAATCAGGGATCCAACCAGTGTCCCTTCCATTTCAAGGTGAATTCTTAAGGGAAAGACAACATGTATCTGCTTTTTAAAAAATGTCTTTGAATTCATACATTATATCAATTTCTGGAATGTCTTACACACCCTTGATAAGCAGAGGTTTCTATTTCCTGCATCTCAACTAGAGTTAATGATTGAACTTGATTTCCCAAGGGCACACATCTCCATGGAATATCTGCAAACTGGATACATGTGAAATAACCTTCTGCATTAATTTTGGAATATGCCTCCAGCCTGAGTGCCCCTGACACTCCTCCTAATTGCCGAAAAGAAACCACACATGATTGCCTTCATGGAAACTGACTTTCCACCACCTCCATTCTTTGCTCCATTAAAATTGTCCTCTTCCCTGTCCTCCTCCAGATGGCTAGTATCAGCCAGCTGTCATACTGGGAAGAGTCTGGTTTATTCCCCACATGGTTCCAGAAACCTGCCTGGATATAAATGGGTTCCAGATTGCCCATGTAACAGAGAGCCTTCAGTCCCTCCTTCCCGGGCAGCTGAGTCTAGCAGACCCCCTACAACCGGAAGGCGGACAGGTTTACCCTTGCAGTATTCACGCCGGAGGACAAAGCTGGGGGTAACGTTGCTGATAACCCAGTCCTCTTTCCAACACCCCCTTTACTTCAGCTCCCTTCTGTGCAATGTAAATACACCTTCTTTAGGCATTTTGTGGTCAAACGTCTATGATAGTTCATTCTTCTCAAGTGTCTTCTGCAAACCCAATACCTACAGGACTGAGGCAGGTAAATGAGTAAGATGGAAGTGTGCTAAAGGGGCAGAAACCCCTCTGTTCTCTCCCAGATGAGAATGCAGGCCCAGTGGTGCCCTATATGATTTTTCAAGTGAAGTAAGAAATCCATTTTATTAGGTAAAATCTCCTTCATTTTAAAATCTGGCAACACTTAAGTGAGCATTTCCATGCACTCTATTTGAACCATAAGCCTTCAGGTTGCAGTCTCTTGCTGAACAAAAAAATATGCAATCCCCTCCTGGGCATCATGCTTCCAAGGAGAATTTTCCTGATGGATATGACTGAATAACACAAACACAGCAGAACCTCCCTATTCGGAGCAGCTGTTTTTCAGAAGCTAGAGTTCTGTATCATGAGTTCCAAGGCCTAGGTTCTTGCCTCCCCGCCCACCACCACCACTGACCCCAGCTCATCTCTTGCATCTCAGTGTCACAACTCTGAGCAGAGCAGGCTGTGGTAGGTAAACAGGAATTGTTTGCTGAATTAAAATAAGTTTGCCATCCATCACCAAAAGCAGTGTTGGAATATGTGTTTTAAAGATTCTTTGGGGGACAGATTAAAAGCCACTTGTATGGCAAAAACCACTACGATATTGTAAAGTAATTAGCCTCCAATTAAAATAAATTTTTAAAAAGCCACTTGTGACAATGAGAGTAATTATTTTCATTCTCATATTACATTTTCTAAAAATGCTATTGTAAGACAACCTGCTTTCTGTAATTACATGACAAAATGTCACAACATTGGGCTCCAAATGACTTCCGGCCATTTCCTAACATATATATATTTTAATGATACTACAAAATAGAGCATTGGGGTAGCCTCATCATCAGGAAAATCTGCCCTGAACTCAGAAGGTAATTCTGAGAGAAGAATTGCAGAACCCCAGAAAGCACCAAGATGGTATATAATCATGGAGGCAACTGTTTTTATAAAGATGAACATTTATTCATCAAACATTAAATGTTTGCTCTGCACAGCGCATAGCAGACAAGCTGCTAGTGGATTCTCATGCTCCATGGCTATAGCAGGGGTCTGAGAAAGAGAAGAAACATTTGCACATGGCTTTTCAACCCATTGCTTACATTAAGTTTGCTACTCTTTCATTTGACCAAAGCAAATCACATGCTCAATTCCACTGTCAGTATGGGAGGACACACTCAAGGGCCAGGAACACCAGAAGGTGTAGATGTTGGGCCTTTAATACAATTAACCTACCACAATCATGGTTCAATACCATGCTGTTTTTACCCTCCTCTCCACATAGTTTCAAATATGATATTTCAGAGTCCAAATGAGTTGTGGATATGGCATCAATTGTAACTTTGTGGGTTTCAGAAGGTAACAAAAGAACAGTAAGAAGTGTGTCTCACAAAAAAAGGATGTGTCTTACAAAACAAAAGGATGTCTATGATTTTAGGCTGATCCTGGGGAAACACCATCAGAAGCTCCGAGTGAAGCCAGGCCAACTCCAGCAGAAAACGGGGTGAATCACACGACGTCCCTGACACCCAAACCACCCTCCCAGGCTCTCCACAGCCAACCAGCTCCAGGTAAACATTCTGAGGAAAGAGCTGTCCTACGTAACCAGCAGTCTCTAGTGCATCCACACCAAAAGGGGCAGCATGACTGCGTTAGCATCACCAGGCAGTGGGGACACATGGATTAGGAGGCGGTCCAGAAATGTTTGCTGAGGATGAATGACAGAAGGGAGGGAGGACTCGTAAGTCCTTCTTATGAGACTCGTAAGTGCTGGCTCTGCTGATAACTTGTGAAACCAAAACAAAGTATCACCCAGCTTCCGCATGTCTTCATTTAGTGATAGATTTTGGTCCATCTGCTGGCAGGGTGTGTGAGGGGCTCTTCAAACACATTATACTTTATGCTTTAGAAGTACATTCTTAGTTCTGCTTCACTAAGTTAAGTTTCTACCAAGAATTCCTTCCTGTCTTTCTCCAACTCACTTTTCACTAAGTGCCAACCATGTGCTGAGCATGCTCAGCCCTTCCCATGGATTATGTCATTTCACTCTCAGACCAAGCCTCTGAGGGCTGATTCCACCATCATCCCCATAGTACAGATGAATAAATTGCAGTTTTAAATTGCAGAAATAAGTTACTTCTTGAAGGCCACATTGCTAATGTAAAGTGAAGGCAAGACTGACACCATTCTCCATGATCCTAGAATTCTTCCCTTTAGCTTCTCTGCTCCTACTGAGGCTACTTAAGAAAGGAGATTCTTGAGATTAATAATATTAAGGAGTGACTTAAGTATAAACAAGAAGTGATATTTTCAAATGAAGATTTTATGTGCCANATAAACAACCCAAATATCCATAACCAGTAGAGTGGATAAATAAATTGTGATTTAGTGACAGAATAAAATAGGATTCATCTGTAGATATAAACTACAATTACACAGAACTACATGGATAAAATTTATAAGCATAATGTTGGAGAAAGGAGGACAGGCACAAAAGAGCACCTTCTTTATGATTCCAGCTACATAAAGTTCAAAAACAGGCAAAAGTAATTTGTGTTCTTAGAAACAAGGATTGGATTCTACATGGAGGGTGGGTGCGAGGGCAGGAATCACAAAGAGGCCTCTGGGGTTCTGATAATATCCTGATTTTGGTCTAAGTGGTGGCTATAGAAGCCTGTTCACTTTGTGAAAATTGAAAGGAATGTGTATTTATGATTTCACCAAAATAACACCTAAAATATGCATCAAAAATTATTTTAGAAATGTGTGAAAAGAAAACATGTGTTTATAGACTTCATTCCATGAGAAANTGAAAAGAAAACATGTGTTTATAGACTTCATTCCATGAGAAACAATAAAATATTCACACATAAAACAAGAGAAAAAGAAATAAATCAGAGCATGATTGTAAAATTATTTAAAAATACACAAACGCATAAATGAAAAGTGGGTATTTGTATCGATATCTTAGCAGTGATTATATCAGGGTGGTTTGTTTATGAGTGCTATCTATTTCTTTATATAAATGGACATTTTCTTTATGTTTAAGGACATATTCAAAAATTAGCCTTTTATCCACAGATTTTTTTAAAAGTAGTAGTTTCAGTGGGATTCTTTTTAATCCTAAGTTGGAACACCTGGAACCTCGTTCCTAAACTTGCCACAGCTGACACATTGCACATCATTTTTAAATAAGTGGGGTTGAACATGTCACCAAAACGGCAGTGATTCCTTAGGATTATAAATTTTAACATAATAAGTCATTATGCAACCATAATGAGTCCATTTGGGCCTGAGGGAAACCGTTAAGCAAATGGACCTGTTTCTCTCCCCAGCCTCCTTCTGAGAAGGAGCTGAATGTCAGGAGAATAGAGCCATTATTAAAAGGGAAGCATATTTCAATTGCTTAAAGACCTTAGCATTTAAGAACATAAATTATTACTCTGATATCAATGTTTATCCACTAGACATTTCATTTTCTATTTAGGTCTGTTGTTATTCATGGCATATATTATCTCTGAATCTCTTGACAGTGCTAAATATTTATAATAACTTATTTTTGTTCCCAGAAGTGGAAAGTTCACATCAAAGGATTGGAAACATGTGAACCATGGTCTTAATCCAGGTCTTAATCCATAGACTTAATCCAGGTCTAAATAAATGATAATTCATTGAATTTAAGGCACCGTCCATTTTAAGGTACCCCGTTACTCATGGACTGCCAAGAAGGAAAAGCACCAACAAATTGTGACTATCCATTGACTATATGATGCATCTTAGTTTTAGAAACATTAACATATTTTTAAGTGCATATTCTAAAATTGATTAAATAAATCAATAAGATACAGACTGTTTTAAGATCAAGGTCTGTCACATTAAGTGTTTTCTCAGCATTAAATAAAACACTATGTAGTCATGTAAGCTACCACTAACGTCATGGTCCCTTTGGGCAAATCACAGTAAGGACCTTCCTTCATCTTACTGATTTATACTGGAGCAATGTTGTGATAAACATACAAACCTATAATGTCTATCCTATGAATACTGCCCCTGAGAAATGGTGTTCAAGAACCTGTGCAAACATTTGTTAAGCCAGAAACTGTTAAAAACTGCATTAATTCTTTCATTCCATCATCACCATAACAACCTTAAGAAATAGAAAGTGTGGGATCCTTAAAGTGAATCCTTTTGGTGCCCACCCAAGTTGCCTCTACCATCTGGTACACCCAGCTCCCAGCTGTAGTGAACGTTGGTTGCTAACAGCTCAGGAGTCCCTCTGCTTTTGAAAACTGCCTTCATGGAAGGCACACTGATCAGGAAGAGGGATTTCTCATCTGAGAAATATCTAGCTGCCGTGTCAGGTACTCGAGCATGCAGCATGTCTCATTATATCCCTTTGAGCTACTTGTTACACGGCTATGTCTCTGACAATGCCCTGATGCATTTGATGTTCTAGGCATCAAAGATTTGTATTAAAGCAGATGAAGTGCTATTTGCAAACATTAGCAAACCACAGGGAGAGCTGAAGATTGTGCAGGAGATCTTACATCAAAAAAAGAAAGAAAATTGCCCCCAGCTGAAAGGAAGCCCCCTCTCCAGAGAATTTATGCCTCTCCCACTGACATTGCCGAGTATGCTGCTTCAAGATGAAACTGAGTCTGTAGTACAGTTCGCAGCTCCAGAGCGCCCCCGGGGCCAGGCAGAGGCGGACCCCGGCCGAGACCGCGTCAGCGGCCGCCGCTTCTGTACCCGCTGGCCTCCCACACCTCCTGAGGGCCCCGCAGTAGATCACACACGCCTGAATCCCTCCCTTGGGCTCAGTTTCCTGGGAACCCTAACGCTTAAAAAACTACCGGTAAAGAAACTGAGTCTGAGAAGTTCGGTAACATAGTCACAAAGTTAGCAAGCAATAGCCGCGGCCGGGAGCCCGCTCTGAACGCCAAGCTCTGCCCCCGAGCCGGAGGGCCAGGGTCGGACCGGCGACTGCTTGGCAGCCGCGGCCCTGCGCGCCCAGCCCTCCCGCCCTCCCGCCTCTCAAACCCGTTTGTTGCAGATGTCGAAGCGCAGACGATTGAAGAGCTGAAGCAGCAGAAATCGTTTGTGAAGCTTCAAAAGAAGCACTACAAGGAAATGAAAGAGCTGGTGAAGAGACACCACAAGAAGACCACCGACCTCATCAAGGAGCACACTGCGAAATACAATGAGATCCAGAACGACTACTTGAGAAGGAGGGCAGCTCTGGAAAAGACAGCCAAGAAGGACAATAAGAAAAAGTAAGTTGAGCGGGTATTTTTTCTTTGTTTTATAGTATAAAAGAAGAGAGTCATTTGCGTGTATTTTCAATGTTTTTTTTTTTAATGGACAAACTACAATTTATCTAAATGATTTTCTATTGTTGAACATGAAGGCTGTTTTTTATTATTTGCTATTACAAGAAATGTAGTGATAAATATGTACCGATAAATCTTTCATATATTCTTAATTATTTTCTTAAAATTCTCGAAATGAGATCCCTGGATCAATTTAAAGACTTTTCTGTTTCAGTTTGTAGCTATCAGCAAGATATGAAAGTGCACATTGATGGAGGAAAAAGTGATGCTTTTAGTATCTTAATCTGCACTTCTTTTTATTAAGTTGAATTTTTGGCATATTTATTGTCAATTTATATATTTCTTCTTTGCAAATTGTCATATTGTGGCCTTTACTTGATTTTTTTAATTGAAATATAGTTGACGAATTTTCAGTGTTTTGTACCATGTTTTGGATCTATACCACTGCAAGAAGGAAAGCCACCCAACCCCCTCCTCTCTCTACAGCTCTGATGTCCCCTCCGTTCACTTTTGCTTGTGAATTTCTTTATTTGACCAGATTTTGAGACTAGATGCACACGAAGTTCTACCCTTGAGTTTTAGCTTGTAGGCCCAAGACCAGCTGGTTGACTAGCCATATTGCAGGTACTATACAATGCAGGAGACACAAGTTTGATCCCTGGGTCAGCAAGGCCCCATGGAGGAGAGCATGGCAACCCACTTAGTATTCTTGCTGGGAAAATCCATGGACAGAGGCATCTGATGGGTTACGTGTGGTCCATGGGGTTGCTAAGATTGAACAGGACTGGAGCGACTGAGCACGCACCACACAGCCTGGGGGATGTGACATTTCGTGGACTCTAACCTCGCTGAAGAGGCAGCTGGCCTTGCTGAAAAGAGCATCTCTACTACCCTCTCCTGCCCTATCTGAAACCCACAAGACTCTGTCCAGATAATGCTTTTTCAGGGCCTAAGCCCCACAGCTCCAGGTACTCAGACAGTTCTGGGGAGAAGCATCTCTCACACATTTGTTCGGCCAGTGGGGACATAGCAATGAACATGACCTGTTCAGTTATCACCCCAGTGTGCCTAATGTGGTAATGTAGAAAAATATGAGAGCATAAAAACTGAGTCAGGCAAACTGTATCATTCCTTCCTTTTTACTGTACCATTTACTTCCTTACTTAATATTCCAATCCTGATGCCAGGTTAGAGAGAGGTAAAAGGCCTTTTCCAGATGCATCTTGTGACATATGTTTTAGCATGTGCTTAACTTTAAAACAATCAAAATCTAGTCCATGGGCTTTTAAAATCTGCAAAATCATCATTTCTTAGAACTGGAGCAGCCTTAGAAGCCATCTAGGTGAACTGCTGTCAATTCTTCAAGGAGGAATTCGAAAACTAAAGGCTTAACATTTACCCACAGTTACAAACAGTTCAGGCAAAGCTTGACCTAAAACTTCTCTTGAATTTCTATTTTAGTGCTGTGTATTTAGTCATTTGTCCATTCCTGTATTTATTTACTTATAAGTCATGTCCTGCAAACTTCCAATAGAATACTGAAGTAACTTATCATAGAAGACATAAAAGAAATCCTATAAAAGTAGGGAAAAAAACCCAAAACGTACACGCATACATATGCACACAGACTGTCTACCAGTTACCAGTCCTGCTGTCTAGTACCCAAGTTACTAGCCACAAACAGTGGCGCACTGTAGTTAAAATGTTTTTCAAGCACAAGATACACACTAGCATTCAAAGACTTCACTAAAAAACTCATGTTTTTAAATTAACATATACTGATTTTACTTTAATTCTATACTGAAAGATCAGGCTATGCAAAAGACATTATTAAAATTTATTTTACTCATTTCTTTTTCTTCTTAAGATAGCTATGTCAAAAAAATCAACTACTTGGCCCATATTATATTCCAACTGGATCGCACTAACCATTTAATGTAATTTCTGTCCTGGAACCCTGAAGTTAGCTCTTAGCTTCTGAGAAAAGGAAATATGGGTTAGATAATTCTCCTTATCTGGTTATTTTCTAAGACAAAGAAACATTTTCCTGGTATTACTAATAAATTACAAAGAAAAAGTTTCAATGCAGCTCTTGGATCATATGCAGGCAACATTAGGTAACAGGGAATCATGTGTTCAACCTTGTTTTTGAAGAAGATGCAGAAACGTCATCCCTTGGTTATTTTTCTATATTTTCTTTCAACAAACAAATAAAAAATACATCAGGAGAAACCTTTTTTCCAAGAGGCAAAGCCACTGAGATCTGATTATGTTTGTCCATCTCCCTATGATATATGTAAAAATCCTGAGAACATCTCAGAGTAATAAATGGACATAATGTCCATAAAATCCCACTGACTTTCTTTGTGTTTAGAAAGTACAGTTATTTTTCACTAAATACATGAATGTGTGTGTGCTGTGGTTAGTCACTCAGTCGTGTCTGACTCTTTGCGACCCTGCCAGGCTCCACTGTCCATGAGGACTCTCCAGGCAAGAACACTGGAGTGGGTTACCATGCCCTCTTCCAGGACATCTCCTCAACCCAGGGGTTGAACCCAGGTCTCCCACAGGGCAGGCAGCTCTTTACCATCTGAGCCATCAGGGAAACTCAGGGAATTAATATGTATTAATTTATAATGGGCTTATTCTTTTCAAATGAATTAATAAATACATTTTAGGTGTATTTTTTATTGAGGTAACGTTGGTTTGTAAGTTTCATGTGTGCGATATCATATTAGATTAGTTTCTTATTCAAATACCCATCATCTAAATGAGCTTTCAGCTAATACAAAGAGCAGATCATTCAAAGACAGTTTCCATCAGACACTGTGTTGTTCCCAGAGCATAGACTTTGCAGTTTCTAGACGGCTGTCCTATGGTAAGCAGCACTGCCGCTCCCTCATACTATGTCCTCAGAAAAACTGCCCCACTGAACCTCAGTTTCCTCAGATGCAAACTGGAGGTGGCTGTACCTTCTAGTTGGCTTATTGACTTAGTACTGTTTCCAACACTGCCTCTCTTTCTATTTGACCTAAAGAAGTAGGAGCACAAAATTTGAAGGAACCACACTGTATACTTTAGCACAATAATAAGTTAGTGAGAATTGCTTTGTTTTGCTTCAACATTAGTCCTAAACTTCTAAATATCTATGTAATTCTCTATGAATAACTCAAAGGAACTCCCCTTCCACAGAGTGAGCTCTTGATAAATATATTATAATGAACTCAATTCATCCTCCTTTCTCTTGGAACCAAAGTGCCATTTTGGGTAGAGATATCAATGAAGTTGGTTCAGCTACCAGAGAAAACTATGTTAATGACAAATCTTTGCTATTAAGAGATGTCAAGAAACAGAACATGTCAGGTGGGAGTGTTGCCATACCATCTGCATAGGCTCTCTGCTGTCAATCTGCATCATCTGGAAGCAAAATTCAGCACCTTTTTAACTTCCCCTACAGCATTATCAATGCTGAGTGTATGGGGGAAATGTATAGGAAATGTATAGAAGACATGAAGCTGGGAATTGCGTTATACATTCTATGTTAAAAATATTGAAAGCCTCAAAAAGTCCTTATTAGACGTTTTTCCCAAGGAGCTTTATCCTCTTCAGCACCACCGTGAGGAACCCTAGCTACCTGGCTTCCTTTTCAGCCCCTACCTCTTTGTAGAGCAACACAGATTCCATCCACTTTCCATGTTTGGAGACCCTCTGTTGCTAAGCTTGTCCTTGAGGTATCAGCCTCTGTCTCAAGTGGTTTATTGACTGTTTATTTCCCAACACATTCCTCTCTCTAGGAAGGACTTTGGTGAGCAGCCCTCTGTCTACCTTGCTCTGAACTGCATGTTTTGTGAGCCAAGCTCTTTGTCTCTGCAGATCAGAACCCAGCAGCCCTGACCACGTCTCTACAACAATTGAGCAAGACCTTGCTGCCCTGGATGCTGAAATGACCCAAAAGTTAGTAGATCTGAAGGATAAACAACAGCAGCAGCTGCTTAATCTTCGACAAGAGCAGTATTATAGCGAAAAATACCAGAAGCGAGAACACATTAAACTGGTAAGCCTGAAAAATGTGATTTCTGTGTCTATACCCAGACCTTTTTTCCTATAAAGAATATTGTTAAATTAATTTACCTATTTTAATTGAAGGGATAATTACTTTACAATATTGTGATGGTTTTTGCCATACATGAATTGGCCATAGGTATACATGTTTGATGTTCTTGGATAATGTAACAGGAGGCAGCAGCAAGTTTGGCTGGCACTTTCATTTTGCTTCCTAATTGAATAATCTTATTTTGTTGCCAGGTTATAGAGAGATGTAAGATGTGTTTCTCAGATCCATATTTTGACATGTGATTTAACCCATAAAAGCATGATACAAAACTCAGGAGCTGGATTTTAAAAAGCAACAAAGTCATCATTTCTTAGAAGTGGAAATTACATGAGTGAAATAGCATCCACCATACTAATATTTTATAGATTCCACTATTCCAGCGTCTTTTCTGAACTCCCCTCTATCCTCCAATGAGGCTGTGTTTTATTTATATTTTCACTAATTCATTTTTTGGCTATAAACATTTGGGGGTATATCTTGAAAATCTTACAAGGAATTGGAAAACACTTATATTTAAGAAAATTAAGAACATACTGCAAGTGTTCACTTTTTATGCAGTAGTGTAGCTTTGCAGTGGTATAAAGAGAGCAGAAAAATTTATACAATCCACTCTCCTACTTTAGAAAAGACAGTATTTAAGTGGCCAGCATGGAATGTTGTCCACTTAATTTCTGAGGCTCCCTATGAAAGGAAATGCCATCATTTCCATGAATGATCAGTTTTGTCCTCCATATACGTTTTCTCAGTAATTGTGACACTCTATTTTTTTTTTTAATGAAAGTGAAAGTGTTAGTTGCTCAGTCGTGTCCGACTCTTTGCAACCCCGTGGCCTGTAGCCTGCTGGGCTCCTCTGTCCATGGAATAATGGACAAAAACAGTGGAGTGGGTTGCCATTCCCTTCTGCAGGGAATCTTCTCAACCCAGGGACAGAACCTGGGCCTCCAGCATTGCGGTCAGATTCTTTACCATCTGAGCCACCAGGGAAGCCCTTTAGTGAAATATAGTTGATTTACGATGTTGTATTAATTTCTTCTGTACAGCAAAGTGATTCCATTATATATCAGTTCAGTTCAGTCCAGTTGCTCAGTCATGTTCAACTCTTTGCGACCCCATGGACTGCAGCACGCCAGGCTTTCCTGTCTATCACCAACCCCCAGAGCTTGCTCAAACTCATATCCATTGAGTCAGTGATGCCATTTAACCATCTCATCCTCTGTCATCCCCTTCTCCTTCTGCCTTCAGTCTTTCCCAGCATCAGGGTCTTTTCAAATGAGTCAGTTCTGCATATCAGGTGGTGAAAGTATTGGAGCTTCAACATCAATCCTTCCAATGAATATTCAGGACTGATTTCCTTTAGAATTGAATGGTTTGATCTCCTTGCAGTCCAAAGGACTCTCAAGAGTCTTCTCCAACACCACAGTTCAAAAGCATCAATTATATACATACATACATGTTTTAAAAATTCTTTTCCATTATGGCCTATCACAGGATGTTAAATATAGTTTCCTGTGCTACACAGTAGGACTTTGTTGCTTATCCATCTTCTACATAATACTTTGCATCTACTAATCCTAAACTCACAATCTGTCCCTCTCCCACCTCTTCTTGGCAAACAAGTCTGTTCTCTGTGTCTGTGAGTCTGTTTCCTAGATAGGTTCATTTGTATCATATTTTAGATTCCATATATAAGTGATATCATATGGTATTTGTCTTTCTCTGTCTTAACTTCATTTAGTACGATAATCTCTATCCATGCAAGAGGCATTAATTTACTTCTGTGGCTGAGTAACATTCCGTTGTGTCTGTGTACCACATCCTCTTCATCTGCTCATCTGCAGAGGGGCATTGAGGTTGCTTCCCGGTCTTGGCCGCACAATAGCCAATGTGCTGCTGCTGTGCTGTGTTCAGTCGTGTCCAACTCTTCGCGACCCCCTGGACTAGAGCCCACCAGACTCCTCTGCCCATGGAGTTTTCCAGGCAAGAGTATTGGAGTTCCTACTCCATGGGTCTCCCTGACTCAGGGATTGAGCCCACATCTCTTATGTCCCCTGCATTGGCAGGCAGATTCTTTACCACCACGCCGTCTGAGAAGCCCCAGCAGCCAGTAGCCACTGTCTATGACCACATGGATGCATGTGTTTTTTTGAATTATAGTTTTGTCCAGTTATATGCCCAGGAGTGGCATTGCTGGATCTCATGGCAAGTCTACTGTTACTTTTTTGAGCAACTGCCAGACAGTTTTCCATAGTGACTGCACCAACTTGCATTTCATTGTTGTTGATGGCTTGACACATAATAGGGACATGATAAATGTTTGGTGACAGATAAATTAAATGAATCAAGCAATAAAGTAGCCTTAAAAATAAGTTTATGCCAAAAATAAAACAAATGAGTAAGCGTAATAGAAATTAGTGTACCTAGGGTGAAAGGATTCTAAGAAGTGTTTATATGATTTGTTCATTTCATTGCTGGAGGCCTCTCCATGTAAGAGAATTTTGAAGCTTTCTCTGCTGCTAGGTGGCAAAGAGTGGATGGTTTAGTCATGACTGTGTATTAGATGGTTCAGGGTAATGCTCTTGTTCTAGTACCGGTCTGGCTTGCAATGATAGTATGCGAAAGAGCAGGTCAAAATCACAAGAGGAGCTTGTCAAAAATCAGATTCCACTTGGTCAGTTAGTGTCAACCTTAGAGGCATCAGAATCACCTGGAGGGTGGTTAAATCACAGATTGTTGGACCCTATGCTGAATTGTCAATTCAGCAAGCCTAGTGTGGGGCTGGCAATGCTGACGCTTCTGGTCCCAGGCCCTCCTTTTGAGACCCACTGCTCTAAACCTAAACGTTGGGCTCAAGGATTTATTTTTTCAAAGCTCCACATGCTGCCTTATTTTTGAACTATTGAAATAAGATCAAGCAGTGAAATTACAGGGGTAGAGGTCAGGTTTCCTATAAGCTAAAGATTGCCTTGCCAGACCTGAGAAAGTACAAGTGAATTTTAACAGGAGAGAATGGCTTTGGGAGCTACAGCCTATTACAATTTGTCTTCTCAGTCCCCCAGATCTAGGACTCCAGAAATAATAACAATCATAAAAACTAAAGTAGCAACTGTATATTGAACACTCCCCATGGGACCATATGCTGTGCTAAATCATTTACAGAAATTATCCAATTTAATCTTCACAACACTACCAGCTGGTACTATTGTCAGCCCATTTTGCAGATTAAAAACTTAAGAGAAATGTAGTGACTTCCCCAAGTTTCCACGATAAGCTAGTTAGTTTTTGAACCACAAAGACTAAGCAATCCAGGCGTAATCATTTGGTGTTTCCTCAGAGCACCAGTCCACAGCAGGATCCATTACCCAAGGAAAGAAACCTGGTTATTCAGAAGAGGTGTGGTGGAATAAGAGGGAATCCCAGAATTCATAGCAGATTCCTGAAATAAGAATAAGGGGTGTGAATGGAAGCAGAAACCTGAACATTCCAGAAAGGCCTCCTGGGGACAAGGAGACTTGAGTTTCAGAAATGAGGTGCAGAAATCCCAAGAAACAGCTACACAAGCTTAAAGTCCCAGGGGTAATTATATGTGAGTATTGACACCACATCAGATACCACCAGATGGGGCATAGAAAGCTGCGGAATGGACTTTCCCCTGGAGGAGAAGGTTGGCAGGGAACTAGAGACCAAGCTGAGCTTATAGGTGGGAAAATTCACCGGAAGGGCCAGTGGAGCAGGAGAGCTGGCGAAGCTCCACTGCAGGTGACAGTCCCAAAACATGTGCTTCCGCCCCCTCGCCCCAGGAGGGAATGAGTCCATAGTGAAAGCTTTAACGGGTTTTCAGAAAAACAAATGCATATGTCCAAGCCAGTCTGCCCTTTCAGGCCAAATGTATGGTACCTACTTGAAATGCTGCCTCTTTCACCACTGTGATTGTGGATCTGGGGTTAGAGAAAGCCCCAGTGACTTTGAACACACTTGTATGGGCCCTTATTAAGAAGGCTAAGATCCAAACATCTTGGATTTAGAACAACACAGAGTTTATTTTAAAGCCATTTCAGGTCATCCTCCATTTCTATGACATGTCTTTAGCTGACATGTGGATCAGAACTTTCTATCAAGCCCATTTGTAATAACTAGAAATTGTTCTACCAGGAAGTCTTTTGATTGAAAGACACCTGGAAGTGTCAATCCTATCTTTGGTTGTGGTTCTGAATTAAAAATGGCCTTTTAGGCTAAATGAGACAAATGGAAGTGTAATTAAAAAGCAAGTAGGCCGCAGGTAAAAAGGAGTATTTGGGTGATGAGGAAAATTAAGCAGAAGATATTTTATCTCCTAAAATTGCTTTGGGAATTAAATGCAAATGTAAACCCACAGTTCAAGGGTTGAGAAAGAAACCACATCATCTATAAACTCCCTGCCAAATGTTCATTACAACTTAATATCTGCCAAATCCTCTGATAGACACTGGAGATACAGATGAGAAAGGTGTAATCAGCACACATGCAGGGAACGTGTACTCCAGTCGTGATACCACGTGAGAAATGAAACCACAGAGATTGATATCTGATACAGATACAGATACAGATACAAACTGATACAGAGACACAGGTGTGGGGAAAATTTGCCTAACCATAAAAATTGATAAACACCAAAAGAATATTTTTGAGGTGACTGTTTATGTTATCGTAGGAGGCACACCAAGCTTGATATACTCTGTAGCTTCAAAGGACTTGTTCTACTGTCCAAATAAGAATCATTAGCCTTAAAATTCTATGTCCAAACAGCTCTGTAGCCTAATTACTTACAGCACAATCCCCAAATCACCTGAAGCCAGTCTGTTAGAAGTGCAGAGTCTCAAGTCCCACCCCAGGCCTGCTAAATCACAATTTGCATTTTGATAAGAAGCCTAGGTGACTGGTTACACATTAAAGTTACAGAAACA